GGGCTCGGGGAAACGGGGACACGTGGCCTGAGGTAGCGACTTCTGGGGACCAAAAGGCCGCTGGAGGGAGTTGGTGGTACCTCAGTGGCTGGAAATTGGAAAGAATAACAAATGTTGGAAATGAGGAGCTAGTATTTTCTGAGAAGAACAGAGAATTTGGTGGGGGGGAGAAAAACTAACTGTGTTGTGTAAGACAGTGCTGGAAAGCTGCCATGCTTGACAATGGCAATTAACTGTTAATTGCTAAAACTGGTGAAACCGTTAATTGCCAGAGCTTTTGCTCTGAAAGTTACTAGAAGAGGCTTGGTGATCTGAGACCTTTGCCCATTACTGAGATGCGATAAAGGGGAGCGCTGCTTGCCGGGGCTTTGAAAAGGGAGAAAACCATCGTCTTTTCTTCCATGCCTGCCGATCTGGGACACTGCTGTGCCACTTCTCACATCCTTTCAGGAAAGCGTACGGGTATTTCGGGGGCAGTTGCAGACTTGTGTGGAGCCAGGGTAACTTTCTGCCAGCTTGTGATAATCCTTTATCAATATCACTGTGAAGTATACAGCTGTTCATGTCTCACTACACATGAATGCCCAAATTGTCTTGTTTAGTTGTCTGTTTGTGTTCTTTTTGCAATTAAATTATCCATGACATTCCATTTTCTTTTGCCTCTAGATGAAGCTCCTGATTCTCGCTGTGTTTGCCCTGTTTTACGTGGCCCACTGTGAGGAAGGCGCCAGGCTCCTGGCCTCCAAATCTCTATTAAACAGATATGCCGTGGAGGGCAAGGACTTGACTTTGCAGTACAACATCTACAACGTTGGCTCCAGGTAAACCTTGTCCAGGCTTCTAAAACTGACCAGGAGCAAACGTTATGTGTGTGTGTCTGCAGGGTATGAGACTACTTCTAGGCTCCATGATGTGCCGCTACCTTTGCTCCCCCTAACTCTGAGCTTACCACCGGTGCTTGAAGGTTTGACCCTGCAATTTGCCTTTTTCTTCCTGTTCGGTTGTTCCTGCTTTCACTGTTTCCTGCTTTCACCTCGTGGCTGCTCTAGCTGTTATCCAGCATGGTGTAGTTACTTTTGTGTCTTGTGACACTCTGCTCCCCATGCACGCAGCCTCCCTGTCTTGGCTTTGTGAGCTCTTTTTCGCATTTGGTTTCCTGTCTTTTTTGCAGTTTCTCTCAGCTTTGCCTTCCTCTTTCTGCAGTCTCCCTGTAATACACCTTAACTCTCCTCCCCATCTTCTATTGGTGCCTCTTTATGTTTCAAAAATCAGTTCTTCCAGCTGCTGAATTGTCAGTATGGAACTGTCTTCCCTCTTTGCTGCAGTCCCCAGTGAGTAGAATGCCAAGTCTAAGATTCTCTTCTCATCCCTTTCTTTGTTGCATTCAGTGCTGCTTTAGATGTGGAGCTGTCGGATGATTCTTTCCCCCCGGAAGATTTCGGCATTGTCTCTGGGATGCTCAACGTCAAGTGGGACAGGATCGCTCCGTATCTTTTTCATGTTTTGAAATTTCTCCCAACACTTCTTCTTACCCCTAAGCATCCTGTAGCTCGCCCGTCTTCATTTGTTGTCACTGAAATTCCTGCATGCCAGACCCTGGGCAGGGTATTGAATGCAAACCTCTGTTCTCCGTGAAGGTGCTGTGTAAAAAAAGTTCCTTGCAAACAGGGCCAGGTCCCTGTGAAATTCATCTGCCTGGTAAGGAGGAGCAGCTGGATCAGCCTTGGATGGGTCTGGATGTCTGTAACCACAGAGGACTCGGATCTCTCATCAGGAGTGACTTTTCCACCTGGTTCGAGGCTCTTCTTTGCCTATCATCTCCTCACTTTTCTTCCTTTGATGAAATGCAACTATTTTCCTTAACATATGGCTCTCAGAGCGAGTAACGTGTCCCACACTGTGGTTCTGCGGCCTCTCAAAGCTGGTTACTTCAACTTCACCTCCGCTACCATCACATACCTGGCACAGGAGGGTGGACAGGTTGTGGTGAGTTGACTACTTATAGGATCCTTGCCCAAATCGGACAGCAGATACACCTGACTGTGCTCTTCGAGCTGCTTGTTAGGGGACGATGCACGTCCCTGCACTCTTACACTGCACAGGCTCTGTTGCAAGAAGGAAAGGTGGCAAATACTATCTTTTTTTCCCCCCTACCTTTTTCAGGTTGGTTTCACTAGCGCTCCTGGGCAGGGAGGAATCTTGGCTCAGCGTGAGTTCGACAGGAGGTTCTCCCCTCACTTTGTAAGTACCTTTCAGTTGTAATCGAAATTGCGCCGCAGCAATTGTGCCGCCCAGCACAGTGGCTTTTTGCCAGTTTGTGGTGTGTTTGGTTTGCACCACAGTTACCTGGAAAACTCCCAACATGGATTGCAATGAATTGCAATCGGTTGTCCAGAAGAGTATCACAGAAAAAGCAAAGAGTTTTCATCCCAGCTACCTCTGAGAAGGAGCTGGCGCTGTGGGATTTGAGTCAGAAGCTTTGAGAGTAGAAGATCTGATGGCTATAAGACTCATCTCTACATGATTTGTTTTGACTTCTTTCTAACAATTTCTCCTTCTAGCTGGACTGGGCAGCTTTTGGTGTGATGACCCTGCCCTCCATCGGGATCCCACTGCTGCTGTGGTACTCGAGCAAGAGAAAGTACGACACCCCCAAGACCAAAAAGAACTGAGCGAAGGCAAATGCCACCAGCACCCCAGAGCTCAGGAAAGAACAAACATTGGCCCACCCAGAACAGCAGGTGTGTTGGGGCCAGCAACAGTCACCCCTGCAAAGCGCTGCCTGGGCTCTGCGTCAGCCCTCTCGGCAAGAGGGAATCAATCGCTTCAATGACAGTGACGTGTTGTCTTCTACATTTTAAAAAAGAAACAAGCAAACAAAAAAAACCCCAACTGAAAATCCCAAACCCCCACAGCCAAACCTCCTTGTCTGTGTATTCGGAGCGGAGACCCCTCGCTCCGTCGCAGACGTAGTGCCAGTGCATCTGATACGAATGTGTCAACACCCAGAGGAGCTTGTCTGGGGTGGGGGGGGGGGTGCGGCTCTGCAGCGTTTTTGGCATCTGTGCTGCCTTCCAGACTCTCTTCAGCCAAATGGCTCTTTGCCTGCTGCCGTCTTCTCAAATGTATTAAATCTCAGGGCCCCCGTCCTCGCTGAAACATCTGTGGGATGGAGCTCTATCTAGTGACAAAAACAGACCTCATTTTGTTAGAGCTTGTTAGAGCTGCTGCTTTGCTATGTGGGGCACGGGAGGTTCCCATGGATGCTTGTTTTCTGGGAAGCCCCATTGTATTTTGGTGAGCAGTTAATTGCTGTGTTTCTGTTCTTTCTGGTTGCTCTGTTACGGGTTGAGGTGTGTTGAGGTACTGAGGATTTTGTAATAAAATGAACACCGTGAAAGGAGCCTGCCTTTCTTTTACCAGGAACTCCTGGAGGCACCTGGCTGCCTTCAGAAGCAGCTAACGGGCATACACTCAGTAAAATAAATCGCTACGTTATCAATAAAATAAATGGGGGAAGGGAAGAAGGGCCCAGAAGGCTTGGTGCTTTGCACCAGCTTTCCTGACAGCTCCAAGCTCTAGTATAAGATTTCTCTTCACAGCCATAAATAAATGCTGCTGTGGCTGTGTGTTGGGCAGCGATTTGTGTTTTTCCTATGGGGAGGTGGTGGCACAACGAGGACCTGCAAGTGGTGAGAGGTGGTTGATTTCTGCCCTGAGCTTTGGGCAGGGAGGCGGTGGCCGTTCACAAGCCGTGGCTGTGCCATGGCACTGTACGACCTGGTCTGGCCACTTGTTGGACCCCACGCAACAGCATGGTGGTGACAGCTGAGAAATCCTGGGGCACGCTGGAGCGAACGCTCTGCCTTTGTTACCAGAACAATGTTTCTAAGCCAGGATTCCTCACCCCAACCTCTGCTGCTGCTGCTTGCATCCTCTGTTTCACCTGGCGAAGGTCCCAGGGTGCTCTAGAGTGCAGCAGGGAACAGCCCGGGCATTGGCAAAGCTCGGTGAAGGCCCAAGGAAATTCTGGAGGGTGGCCGGGCCCTGGAAAAGCCCAGTGAAGGCCCCAGCGAAACTAGAGGGAAGCAGGGTCCAGGTTTTGCCCGTGCACTGGCAGGGCCGTGCTGTTTTCTATGGTATCCCAGAGGCTTCGCAAGGTTTTTCTGATGCCCACGTGGGGCCCTGCTGCATTCCACAGAGCCCCTTGGCCTTTGCTGGGCTTTTTCAACGCCTGCTTCTGTCCACAGTGTCCTGGAGGTTTTGTGGGACCTGGGCTCTGGCAAGGGTGAGGGTCAGGGTGAGGGTTAGGTGGTAGAGCAGGCACGGAGAGCATGGGGGGGGTGTTGTGGAGGGGCTGCCAAGAGGAGGTGAGGGCCACCAACAGCTTTCAGTCTCGGCCACTTCCACGTGGGAGCCCTGGGCGGTGGGTGTCTGTTTTGGAGCTGGGCTCTGAGGAGAATGAGGGGGTAGGTGAGGGTGAGGTTCTGCGCTTGCTCTACCACCTAACTGGCCTCTGCTTGCGTTACGCTTTGTTCTATCTTTTTACATACCAATTGGCTGCAACATAAGATCAACTGAACTAACGCATATATAACCACCAAATTTAATAATCCTAACAAATTATACTTCAATGCTGTCTTAAGCAGTTTTTCCCTAACCATTCTTTGATGGAGCCATCCACACCAGTTAAAAAGTTTTTTGGTTTTTTTTTCAGGTATTTCATGCGGTATTTGAAGTTTACCTCAAGTTTTATGTATGTCCATTTCTATTCTTTGATCTTGCTCTGCATCTGTACAGCAAGTGGTGTATACATGGACTTTTCCTGAGTGATGAGCACATAATTTAATGCCACTGTGTTTTGCAGGGCTACCCGAGATGCTTCTTTTACCTCTAACTGTAAGGCTGAAAGAGCGTTACCCATCTCTTCCATTACAGTAGATACGTTTACGACAGCCCTTTATAATTCTGATACTCCTAGCCAGGGGAGGAACGTTCGTGCAAACTGGTGGAAGCCAGTTTGTCAAATATTTAACAAATGGATTTTGCACAGAGCATTTTATGCTTTGTTCAGTACGCTGGGGTAAGTTGTGCCCGTCATTCCAGAAGGGGTCTGGATATATTGAAATGTCAAGAGAAAAAAACAAGAAAAACCCCGTCCTAATGTACAGGTGCTAGTCCAATTAACAGGCAGTACCTTATAGGCCTTAGAGCCACATACCCCGCCATAACCCTTCATTCCTTAAGGTTTTATCATATAACAGTGCTTATGGGTTAGTACATGACCAGTAATAACATAAACCCAAATGCAAAATCCCAGAGTAAAAGCTGCAATTTCTAAAAACAATCGACAGGTTCAGATGATAATAACAGGGTCATCACAGTCTATTTGCAGGGTTGTAGATTGTACTTGTGTTGACATTTGATCAAAGGAAGTTCATCCAGATCACTCCGCATTGTATCTGAAAACGGTGTGACCCTTTTACACTGGGAAGCGCGGACCCAGCTGAGCAGCCCTTGCGCATCACTGTAGCATTAGTAATTACCGGTACCCGATCGGGCCCCTTCCAGCGCAGCTGAAGGGCGTCTTTTCACTGGCATACCTTCATGTAGACCCGGTCTCCTGGTTTCAAGGAGTGACAGACTTCAGGTTCTGGTAAAACTTCTTTCAGCTGTGTGTGGAAAGTCCTTAAACATTTCATTAATACCTGGCAATATTTTAGAAAAGCATTATCTGTTAGTTTTAAGTTTGACTGCATGGGAATTAAGGGTGTTGTGTAAGACAGTCACATGGGTCTGCCCATTAAAATCTCATGAGGTGACAGCCCATATTTTCTATTCATAATGCTTGTCATATGCATCAGTGGGAGAGGTGACACATCCAGACATTTCAGGCCAGTTTCTGCACAAATTCTTGCTAATTTGGTTTTAAAATCAGAGTTTTTCCTCTCTACAGCCCCACTGGATTGGGGGTGATGGGCAAAATGACACTTAGGTTCTATTTGTAGGGTTGCCCAAATTTTCTGCATTTCTTGTCCAGTAAAATGGGTCACCTATAGCTATCTAGTGTTAAGGGAATATTAAACCCATGAATTAGTTCTTTCAGCATTTTTTTTGCAACAGTTGTTTCATCTGCATGTTTACAAGGACAGGCCTCCATCCTGAGAACATTCTAAAATGACAAGGACATACTCAAAATTACTGCATTTAGGCATTTGAGTGAAGTAAATTTGCAAATTTACAAATGGTCCCCATGGTTTAGGGTGTGCAGCTGTACTTGTCTTCTCCTTCTGTCATATATTATTTTGTTGAAAAGTTGTCCTAACAATACAAATATTCAAGAATTTAAACAGTACTTTGTTAGCAAGTTTCAGTCGTTTACACCTTAATTTCTGACAAAATGAAAGCCCTTTCCTGATTGTTCAAGCTATAGAACTATTTGATTAAATAAAAATGTGTATGAATTATACAAATACTAAATTTATGTGGACTATTAAAAAAAGAAATTGTATTTAAAGTTCTTTAACTTTCCTTTTTCAGTATTAGCTGTATCTTCAGATATACCAACATTTTAAGGATGTAGCCATTAGCTCAGTGACTTCATTAAAGCATTCGATTGCTCTCATTCCATTCCAAAATAATGTTGAGAATAGACAAATAACTGGAAAATACGGACACAAGAAAAACTTTGGGCAAACCAATCCTGTCATATAGCTGCAATCACCCCCTTTTTGCTGCTGTGGGCCACTGAATGGGTCACACGAGCAAAGGCAGGTCTATCTTATTCTTCCCGCTGTTCTCCCAAAGACATTTTGCCTGCAGTTTGCAGAGAGCTGTAAATCACTCCAGCCAGGCTCACGGCAGGGTATTTATTTCCTGCCTCTTTGGGCTGTTGTAATACAATTAGTGTGATCAAGGGAACTATAGCTTGAAACCAGGAGAGAAGGTTTTTTTCAAGCAATAGGGGAGTTTCCCTCTCCTTTAGTATCTTCTCGGGAATATCTCTTAGGGAGAAATCCCTGGGCATGTCACAGAAGTTTGAGCATCCCCACCTTCTTCATCCTTAAAAACCTAATCTCAGTCAGTGGTGGCTGAGTAGTTAAGTTTAGCTCATATTCAGTCTGAACTGAAACTTTTAAAGCAAAGTTCCTGCTGCTTTGGTGAATGAGACCCTCCGACTGGGCGGGTGTCTGAACGTTGGTTTTACTACTTGGCTCCATCAGGTTTGAATCTCTGTAAGATGAGGCCACTCCTTTGCAACTGTGCATTTACCTTTTCTACCTGATTCTTCACAAATTTGAAAATTCAATTTGTAGGAGAGCTCAGCCTTATCCTGATCCTCTCAGGCTTCCTCTTGCTTTATAGCCAATATCATTATCGTTTTGATAGGTGGAAGTGATTTGTTACTTACAGGAGGTCTTGTACATACTTTGGTAAACCTCTCTTTTCATCTCCCAAACTACAATCCCAGTCACTAAGCATGCAGCTTGAGGCATTTACACCTCCTATGGACCTTCTAATGTTCTGTAAACATCTTTCAACCCAGTTGTTCAAATTGATCCAAGAATTTACTAGCACAGGTCACGTTTGGGTGCCTGCATAAAGCTCAAAAAGGTCGATTACAAATTTCACACTGTAGGCACATTAGCAAAGGATCAGCCCTATCTCATAAGAATTATAAACACGTAATCTCGAGAGCGCTCGCAACTTGACGAAATCCTGCTGTCTACGTAACTGCTAAGGGATGTTAGACGCACGGCTGCCTCCTCCAGCAGCCACAGCCAGGACCCTCCTGCCCAGCCGCTGCA